GCCTCAGCCTCCTGAGTAGCTGGGATTACAGGCACACACCACCATGCCCAGCTAATTTTTTTTTTGTAGTTTTAGTAGAGACGGGGTTTCACCGTGTTGACCAGGATGGTCTCGATCTCTTGACCTCGTGATCCACCCGCCTCGGCCTCCCAAAGTGCTGGGATTACAGGCTTGAGCCACCGCGCCCGGCCTAATGATAGCTTTTAAAAAGAACAGTGAGAGAAATCTTTTGACTGTTGGAAAGACCTGATAGATAGCATTTGGTTAGGCTATGAAGGATATGCAGAAATTCCAACAAGAAGAGAGGAGGTTTAGGCTAGACAGGGAGCACTGTGGGTAGAAGGAACAACCTGAGGAGATACAGATAGGTGGAAGAATGTTTTGAGCATAGCAGATAATTTAGAATTAGACCATTCATTACCACAGAATGGTTTAACTGTGGTAATGATTTTTTTTTTTTTTTTGAAAGAGATAGGATTCTGCTCTGTTGCCCAGGCTGGAGTGCAGTGGTACAGTCATAGCTCCTGAGCTCAAACCATCCTCCTGTCTCAGTCTGCTGAGGAGCTGGGATTATAGGTGCACATCACTCACACCCGACTAATTTTTAAATTTTTCATAGAGATGAGGTCTCACTGTGTTGCCAAGGCTGGTCTCAAACTCTTGGTTTCAAGCGATTTTCCCTCCTGTGTCTCCCAAGTGCTAGGATTACAGGTGTGAGCCACCATGCCCAACTTTTGGGTTTTATTCTGTATACAGAGAGGGCCATTAAAAGAGTTTAGAAAGGAGATAGCTTGTTGAAATCTGTGTTTTAGAAAGGCAGCTGGTGATTTAGCTGTAATCTCTGTTTTTTTTTTTCCTACTCTTAGCATGCTGAAAATTTGGAACAGGTGGGAGAGATATTGTATTAAGAATCAGATTATCCTGATGTGTAAAAACCAGGATGAACTTTTCGGGGTTATGAAAGAACAAGACCGGCCAGGCTGGGTGGCTCACGCCTGTAATCCCAGAACTTTGGGAGGCCAAGGAGGGTGGATCACCTGAGGTCAGGAGTTGGAGACCAGCCTGACCAACATGGAGAAACCCATTTCTACTAAAAATACAAAATGAGCCGAGCGTGGTGGCTCATGCCTGTAATCCCAGCTACTTGGGAGGCTGAGGCAGGAGAATCACTTGAACCCAGGAGGCGGAGGTTGCGGTGAGCCAAGATTGCACCATTGCACTCCATCCTGGGTAACAAGAGTGAAACTTCGTCTCAAA